GGTCTCAGCCCTTAACACAACTGATTCCATGATGGAAGTATCATTCAGGCCATAAAACTTAGCATGTAGACAGCACCACTTGTCAAAACAAGCAAACAAACAAAGACCTAATCCATCAAAGCCCATAGTTCTGGGAAAGTCTCTAAATGTACTAACCTTGCATTTGGCTTCTGTAGTTCCACCTCTGGCTAACTGTTCTTGTTAAGTGAAATACATCAACCCAGAATCTGGTTTTTGTGCTTAAAATTTCACCCTGAGAAAGGTTCTGGGCCACTCTGGGATTCCAAACACCCAGTATAGTAGCTGGCTAATAAAGACTTTCTATTGACTTAAACTTATGTCAGAGCAGTTGTCTCTGGTGGATATCCCACAACAAAAACAGCATCAGAATTAAAGAATTAAAGGTATTGGAGGAACAGGAGACCAGAAAGAAAATCTCAGAGAATGTGTCAAAAGTAAAGATAAATACTGAAGAACCCAACACATCTCAACCCTCTGCTGCCATCTGTCCCTCTGTCCCCTCGCCTCCTCCAACAGAACTTCAGCTTCCTCCTCATTTACTACCCTTCTATCCTACTCTCTCCCTAGAAACTCCCAGAGATTTATGCCATGCTCAAGAGGAATCAAATTCTATAGTAAAAGGAAAATAGTACAGCTCCTTTAAAACTAAAACTGAGGAGGAGAGGGGTCTTGGATACTGTCTATACTCCCTGGGCAAAAGTAAGTGAAATCTTTGCCTATGGGCTTCTCTTATTACTGAAAGTTTTCCTTGTCCCACCTGGTCCCGCTGCCCTTGGGCCCCAAATAAACACACAGATGCTATATTAATTATAAAGCTGTTGGCCCATGAGTAGAGCTTCTTATTGACTAGCTCTGTCTTCATTATTAACCCATTTCTATCAGTCAATGTGTTGCCACAAGACTGTAGCTTACCTGGTAATGCCCTGGCGTGTTGTTACTCCTTCAACAGCATTGTGACTCTCTATGTGGCAGGCCCACTCTGCCTACATTTCCCAGAATTCTCCCTGTATCCTAGACCCACCTATCTTCTTGCCTCATTGGCCGAACAGTGTTTTATTCATTAACCAATAAGAGAAACATATATACAGAAGGACAACCCCCATCATTCTCTGACCCTTAGAAAGAAGTTCTAGGATGTGGTAAAGAATCTCATGTAACTCTATTAGCACACGAACCAAGGTGTTTCTAGCCTATATCAATTAATCTAATTATTGTTTTCAGGGAGAAAGTCAAAAGAATGGTTTTTGCTTGGAAGAGTGGAAACCCCACCTTGAGGACTTTTGTAAAATAGATGCAGATACTAAAATGCTAGCAGTAGGTTAAGAAATCATCTTTCTGATCTTATACCAAAATTATTCCCACAAGCTACTGATTGGGCCAAAATAATACAACAATGTAAAATAAGACCAGGGGAAATTGTACCTGACTTCTATGTCAGGTTTCCAAAAACATCAGAGTACTCAGGAATTCTCCCTCAGAATGTTGAGGGTCACAGAAATGATGTCTAGTTCCTGGGCTTTGGCTATGGTGTGCTTTGGGAGCTTTGTCCCTGTGTTATATGGCATGTTCCCTACAATTGAAACATTCCCTACAAATGAATATTTCCTCTAGGAGGGAAAGGGAGACTCCCTAGCCATAAACAGGAGAGAAACAAAGGATATGCCTGAGAGAATAAGACAATTCTTGAAGGCCCCTCCCCAACAGTGTCAACAGGAGTACAGCTCCTGGGTAAAGAGATGTATGTCTGGACCATAGAGTGGCCACAAGCTGCAGAGTAGCTCTGGAGTGCAGGGTTTTGGGAGTCATAACCCATGTTGGGTAGGCTTCCTAGTGATGCAACTGCTTTTGAATTATCCCTGCTCCTTGTAAGTAACCCTAATCCATACACATGTTAGTAATTCCAATAAAAACTCATTAGTTCTCCAAACTAGACATTGGCACAATCATTACTTTAGTCTATTGTGAGATCCCTTTCTTGAGTGAGTTGATTTTCCTTATTTTTCCACAAATTGTCAAAAGTTTTATATACAGAGTTATGAGATCTGTCCCTCTCACAATTTGTGAATCAGGATAATCAAATGCATTTGTCTCCTTAAGTTTGTAAAATAGTTCATACCATACCATGGGCTTTTAGATAGATTAGATAGATGGATGGATGGATGGATGGATGGATGGATGGATGCTAGATAGACATGAATGGATAGATGGATAGATAGATAGGTTCAGACAGACAGACAGACAGATAGATAGATCACACACACACACACACACACACACACACACACAACCTACCAACAGAAGGTTCAAGAATGCAGTAATTTTTGAGTCCATGAGGCTGGATGCCTCAGCTGGTCTTTGCTATGTGTTGGAATTCTGAATAAGTAGGCTCCAATGCCAGCAAAGGAATGGATTTTCCAGTGAAGCAAGCTGGCAAAGAGAACAAGCTTCCTTCTTCCATATCCTTTATATATGCAGCTATCAGAAGGTCAAGATTAAAGGTGGATCTTCCAACATCAAAAGATCTGGATAAAAGTGGGTCTTCCCACTTCAAATTATTTAATTAAAAAAACCTCTCACAAGTGTACCCAGCCACTTGGGTTTAGTTAATTCCAGATGTAGTCAAGTTGACAATCAAAAATAGCTACCTTCTGTCCACCCCTTGTCAACTTGACACACAATCTATCTTCTTATGTCATGCTTAATTTCTAAATGAAAACAATAACCAGATCATAATTATGCCTAACACGGTATAACTATCCCATGTACAATAACAAAAGCATTATATATTTAACTAAGTTATAATTATGGCTGATATAATTGTCCCTCATACAACCACAAATGCATTATAAATTTTAGAGTAGGGGGAAATGTCTCCTGAGAGACATTCTTTTAGTATCTCAAACTTAAATATGATAACCACTGATATTCTCTTACTTGACGGTACATTGCATGATAAAGAAATTGAAAGAAAGCACAAATATCTGTATAAATACTTCTTAAACTATGACAGAAGCACTCAAGTCAGTTATAATCCTCAATTCTGCAACTGGTCACGTGGCCTTAGCTTGTATTTATAATTACCATCCTCTTCTTTCCACTCTTCAGTTTCTCTGCCCTTAGCAAGCACCTTAGCAGATCTTGGCTCTTTTCCTGGAGAAGTAACCCACACCTTCATTGCTAACGGGTCTGTGCCCTTTGTCATCCTGCCTGGATTAGGTTATGACTCAGCTCCACTGTTCCAACCTTGGAGTTCATGCTGAATCTTTGCTTCTGGAGCCTCTTGTGGAGACCCAGTACCCCAGAATGAGTTCTTCCTTTACACAGGCCTCTCCACTCCCTCCCCCTCACTCACCATCACTCTGCTGGAGGAAGCTCAGGTTGTTCTCTTTCCATTTTATTTCCCATTAGGTTGTCTCTTCTGGCTTCCTCCTTTCTCTCCCTGATCAACAGGGAATGAAGATATAGTCTATCAAACCTATACCAGAAGAGAAAGGACCCATTTCTTCCTCCTGAAAGCTTGGGGTCTCTGAGAGTTCTCTTTCTTGGAGCACCCTGCTTAGTTGAGTGGTAGTAGTTAGAAGAACTGGAGAAATTTCCATAAAAGTTTCCCTTTCAGGCTGATGATTCCACTCAGTTCCCTCCCACATTAGTTGAGTGGACACACTGGAAAAGGGAGATGGAGCGTGGCCTGAGGGGGCAGAGAAGGCAGGCTTGCTTCACCATCACTCTTAAGGACACACCTGACACCAAGGGGCTCCTTTTTTTTTTTCGAGACAGGGTTTCTCTGTATTGTTTTGGAGGCTGTCCTGGAACTCGCTCGGTAGACCAAGCTTGGTCTCGAACTCACAGAGATGCACCTGCCTCTGCCTCTCGAGTGCTGGGATTAAAGGCGTGCGCCACCACCGCCCGGCGGAGGCTCCTTATTATTATGGTATTTCTTCTATGCACCTAGGACACACAACATCTTTCATGTTAAATTATTTTTCATAGGGGATAAAGATAAAAAAGATCAGTTAAGCCGGGTGTTGGTGGTGCACGCCTTTAATCCCAGCTCTCGGGAGGCAGAGGCAGGTGGATCTCTGTGAGTTTGAGGCCGGGCTGGACCGATAGCCTCCAAAACAATACAGAGAAACCCTGTCTCATAAAACCAAAAAAAAAAATCAGTTAAGGTTGGAGCTGTATCTTGGAAGTAGCATAATTACTTAATATGCATAAAATCATTAGATCAATTCCTAGTACTACAAACAAACCAAATCAAAGTCCCCACAACAACAAAGCAAACAACTGAGAAGTCAGATATAACAGAGTAAAGGATAGAGAGAAATCCAGAGGAGAGCCTTTCCCTATCAGGTCAGAGAAACAGGCTGCTATGTCATGGGTTTATTTTTCTGTAGCTTATTATATGATTCTGAGCAACAGGCAATGCCCAGGCAACATTTATGAACCCAGTTAAATGGAGACCAACGGTTGGATTCTAAAGTCCATGTTCTATCTTCATCGTATCTGGTTGTATTGACATGGTTCACTCTACTTGCATTTCTGGGACTCAGCATCCATTCTATATGGCCAGAGGTTGTCCCAGGGATGTAATAGAGCAAACTCTGAGTGACGGTAATGTCTCCTGAATGTATTGGTCTCTCGAGGAATAGGGAGGCTAAGGCTCAGTACATCAGACTCCAGCTCTGTGTCTAGAAGCTGGGATTGAGCTCAGTCCCTCCCTAGCCTGGCTTATGGGGTTCCAGAAAATCAGCACCCAGGCAACAAGATAAACTTTATTTGGCTGTTGTCTTGAGGGATGGGGAGAGAGATCTTAGCCACAATGACCACTTCCCTCACTGTGGCTCAAATTTCTGCCCAGGCTCTGCTAAGTGTGGGCAGCAAGGATATATAGGGCAGCCTAGGTTGGGAAGAGACCAGCTCCAGAGGTTTATGGGCTCATGTAGAGCTTCATCCAAGCTTGTCACATGAACATTCCCATCATGGATACTACACTTTGGAAGGCTCTGGTCCTGGGGCCTCTTCTGCCAACACTTCTGCTGGTATTTGCAGGTGAGTCTTGGCCATGGAGACATGAAGGTCAGCACTCCAAGGTGGCAAAATTGTGTTCTAGACAGGAACTGAGTCCCAGGGAACCTTCCTGGGCTGTTTGTACCTTATCCATACTGTAGACCTTTTGGGGACAGGGAGGTAGTGAGAGCTCGGGCATCAGAGGAAGAACGTAATGCAGAGGTGGAGGCTAAGAGGCCTGGTGGCAAGGAAGGAGCCTGGGTTCTGTGATGTCAACTCCAGACTTCCTGGCTATCATGTCTAGAAGTCTGAAATTATATGTAAGCATATATATACATATATAATGTATTTTATAAGTATATATATAGAGAGAGGAGAAGGGAGAGAGGGAGATGGGAGAGGCAGGGAAGAATGCAAGAAGGAAGGAGAGAGAGAGAGTGAGAGAGAGAGAGAGAGAGAGAGAGAGAGAGAGAGAGAGAGAGAGAGAGAGAGAGAGAGAGAGAGAGAGAGAGAGAGAGAGAGAGGAATAAACCCAAGTAGCGAATCCTGGATCCAACAGCATCAGGTGAACTTTCTAAGCCTTCCTTAGTCACAGACAGACAATGTGACTATGAGCAAGTTCCTAAACCTGTCTGAGTCTCTGCTCCCCAGGGAAGTGAAGGCAACAATCCTATCCTTCAACATTTGGGCTGTGGGTGAGATGAGCCCCTATATCTGGAAGTGGTTTCTAAGCCATCGGGTGCTATGTGGAAGGTGTCAGAGCCCATGGTACAGTTCTCTGCCATCTGTCTTTCTCTGTCATCGCAGCACTACTTGTCTTCCTCTTGCAACTTGACTTTGAAAAAAGGGTTCTTGTTACTGGGACCCTAGAATTTAGCTCACAGTCTGAGCACAGTAGGGGTGCAATGGCACACAACATGGCAATTAAACCACTGCTCTGAATCTCCAAACACTGTCTCCAGGAGGTGGGCAACCTTTCTTACTCCAGAGGACAGACCCTATGATAGGAGTAGTGAGTGCTTTGTCTCAGTCCTGACTTCATGGGGCTGAATGAAACATACTTGGGTGGAATGTGCTCCTGTTTTTTAGGTTGCTTCTATTTCCTATGAGAATAGAGCAAAACTGAACATGGTTGAGCAAGTATTGGGGTAGGGTTTTGAATCCTTGGGCATATGCCGAAGAGCAGTTTAGCTGGGTCATGGGGCAGATTTATTTTTAGCTTTTTGAGAATTCCCCACAGGGTTGTTTTTCTCTCCACCAGTTTTCAGAGGTACAGCAACAGTTTGCAATCACATAAATAGTAACTAAGGGTTTACTTTTCCCCACGTCCTCACCTGCCTTTGTTGCTAGTTCTTGATCTTAGCCGATCAGCTCTGAGCAGGGTGTAACTGTAGCTTCACTTACCTTCTTTCTTAGTTGCTTGGTGGTGTTAATTTCTCCCTTCTCTCTGGGGCTTGTTTCCAGTATTCTGCGGGGCTTTTTTGATGAACATAGATTCTTTTAGCTTGTTAGTGTGATGGAAAGGCCTTCATTCCATGGCATGTAGTTTTACTGGGTACAGATGCCAATCTAGATTGGCATTTGTAGTCTTTTAGAAGTTGAAGATCATTACTTCAGGCTTTTAGATTTTCCACAGAGAAATCAGCAGTTAATATGATGGGGTTTCCTTCATATGGGAGTTGAGAATTTTTCTCTTTTTGCCTTTTGTACCCTCTCTTTGTTCAGTATATTTAAAGTTTAACTATAACATGCATGCTTTTGGTCTTGTCTATTTGCTGGACTGTGTGTTTCTTGTATTTATATGGTTGTAACTTACCTTAGTTTGAGGAAGTTTTCTCCCATAATCTTGTTGAAGATGTGATCTTTGCCATTGACATGGGGTTCTTCTCTTTCGTCTATTTCCATAATTAGAAGACTTGGTCTTTTTATGTTGTTGTATAGTTAGTTTCTGAATGTTCCTTTTATGTGCTTTAAATTTTTATAATTATTATTTGCTTGAGTGTTCTAGTTCCTCTTGATCCATTCTATTTGTAAAGCTTTTCCCTGGGGTTTCTAATTGTGTTATTATTTGATTCTCTTTGTTACTGCTTAACTTTTCTTCAACATTTCTCTCTTTACTGAATTCTAGATTTTGTTCCTCATTTCATTCAGCTACAGATATTTTCTTGTGCATTTATTGCTTTCCTCTTCAAATCCATTAAGCTGTGCTTTTGTATCTTCCTTAAATTTCATGATTTATTTGATAAAGTTTCTGATTGTTCTTTTTAAGTTCTGTGTTCTGGGATTCAACTCTGTAATTCACCCTGGAGGACGTGTATGTGGGACTGGTGGGTATGGGGACAGGGAATACTTTATTGTCCTTTCATATTCTTGTATGTTTTTGTGATGTTACCTGGGCACATGGACTTCTTTCTTTGACTGTATGCCTGTTGTGAGATTCTAGGCTGCATTATATTGTGTCAGTGCAGGGACTGAATGAATGGAGGCAGGCTAGAAATACCTGGTGTTTGATTGGCTCATTTAGAATTAGGTCTGGGAATGTGGAGATGAAACAGAGATGGCGTGAGTCAGGGGGACTCAGTATACAATGGCTATATGTGAGGTAAGTATCCAGAGACATGCCTATAAGTCTAGACATAATACAGGGGCAGGTGGGGACCAGAGGATGTCCTAACCAAAAGGGTGTGTAAGGTGTGTGTCTGAAGCTAGTGTGAGGACTTGAGGATGCAAAGGTGATGCACAGGCTGCATATCCAGAACTAAGCTAGTGAGTCTGGGCACGGTGCAGGGGTAGGAGTGGGACAGAGAAAGCCAGCAGGAAAAGACGGTGCAAGCTACAGAATTAGGCCTGCACATGAGGAAAGCAATGCTGCAGTCTTGTAGTAGAACTTTTTGCTGAAACCTCCTAAAGTCTTGCTGCCTGACGCAGCCAAAGAGCAGTACAGCTGGGTCATATGGTCCATTTCTTTGGCACATGACCAATCATTGCACCCTCTGTCCTCAGGCCCAGAATGACATTACTGTGTCTTCTTTCATACATGGCTTTGATTCATTCCTCAGGTGTTGTGGGGTATGTTGTTGTTGTTGTTATTGTTTTGTTAGTTTTTTGAGCCAAGGTTTCTATGTGTAGTCCTGACTGTCCTGGAACTCACTCTGTAGACCAGACTGGCCTTGAACTCACAGATATCCACTTGCCTCTGCCTTCTGCGTTCCGGGATTAACTTCATGCACCGTTATATGCACACTTTTTTTAAAAGCTCAAAATGTCCTTCTTGACCACGCTTTCAGAAGGACTCCTCATTGTTTTGTGGCTGCACATGCTGAGTGTCCTGAGGACATTCACTCTCACACAGCAGTCATATTTCATTTTCTGTTTACTTCTTATGGTTCATTCCCATTCTCCTCAAAGGCAGGTATCAGAGGTAGTGTATTCTCCTTTGAGCATGTGTGCTAGGAATGTATTTTGACTTGAGTGAGCCATTGCTCTATGTCTCTGGAAGTGTGGACTCAGGAAAAAGGACAGTTTTCACTACTCATGGGACAGGCCTTGGTAGGGGTCACTTACTGTTGTATATCGATTCCTCCAACAATGAGAAAGTGAACACAACTGGTTTTTGGTTTTTTTTGGTGTTTGTTTGTTTGTTTGTTTTTTGTTTTCTCAGCTGGGAAGCCTTTCATCTCTCTGAAGGGCCCAGATCAGAGGACAACCACTTCAAATTTAGTGTCTTTTAACTGCACCGCTGGCCCTTTCAGCTCCCAGAACCTCAGACTTGACTGGTTGAAGGACAATAATAAACACCTAGCCTCAGCCCCACAAATGTATATCAACGAAGATGTTTACTATGTCACAAGCAAGGCATAGGTGGCATTGGCCAAACAAGATATCTTTTCTCAGATCACCTGTGAAGTCACCCACGCGGACCTCAATGAGCCCCTAAAAGTAGCCATGAATCTTTCCCAAGTGCTCCTAGGTGAGTGATCAGTGAAATATGTGCTTGGGCCACACTGGTAGCATGGAGGATTTGCTGAAGGTCCCATTTTACACATGGGGAATAGAAATTGATCATTGTCAGTGTTGAACACATGAATATGGGCTGAGATTCCACAGGCTGGCTAGCTGGGCTTTGATCTTAGCTGAATAATTTCCTAGACTGCAGAATATTGGTCATGTGTCTTAAATATTCCAGGTCCCAGTTTCCCTAAAAATTTGGAATGAAACCAACACGTATTTTGTGAGTTTCCTCTAAATATTAAACCAGCTTTTCCTTCTAGAACACCAAGAACTATGCCTAACACGCTGTAGGTTGTTTATGAATGTTTGACCTTGCTATTGTATAGGCCTATCATCCCTCTATAAACATGTTTGTCCTGTTTATTATCATTGGTAATGTTTAAAAGGTTCTAAATATATATTATTAGCTGGAGCTTGCAATCTCAGCTCCTTGGCAAACAGGCAGGTATATAACAAGTTCCAGGCCTGTAAGGATTAACACTGAGTTCAAGGCCAGCCTGGACAACTTAGTGAAATCAAATAAAATTAGTGGAAAGTGGGGCTAAGGACCTACTTCCCTTGGTGGAGTGCTTGTCTTCTATGCAGAAGACCCTGCGTTCTGGGAAATCTTCGGCATTGTGTAAAATATTATTCACTTAATAAATAATGAACAGCTGCTGTGTGCCAGGCACTGTTGTAGGTGTTGTGATTATAGAGTCCCTGATCTTGTGGGACAATTCACTTTAATAATTCCCATAATTATACGTCATGATATGGAATGTTTAAAACTCTGACCAGATTAGATATCCATATATCTCCAGCCTCGTTTCATGAATACTTATACTTGTCCCTATTTATCTTACATGAAACATACAAAAATTGCTCATTTAAAAAGAGAGTAAACTCATGAACTCTCTTCACTCGTGAACTCCACAGCACCTGTATAAGAATTTTGCAAGATCAAGCCACTTGACATTCCAGCATGGAATGGAGGTCCTCATGGACCCCCCCCCCTTTCCCTAGCTGTGGACCTAATGACAGTTGGTAGTTGCTGAAAGAATGAGAGTGAGTTTTCATTAAGGGTGTGGTCTTGGCAGGGCAAGCATGCTCCAGTGTCCCAAACCCATGAGTATATAAGCAGCACATATTAGACTGGCTGGGTTGTAAGAAAAGAGGGGCTGAAGGAAGGGCTCAATGGTGGTAGAAGGATCAGGAATTCAAGATCATCCCTGGCTACATAGTGACTTCAAGGTCATGTTTTATATTTTTGGTTGTGAGCCTAGCCTTCAAAGGCTAAGCTATCCCTCCAGCCCCACTAAATCAAGTTTTAACAAAATGACTGAGAGTCCTTGGGACAGGGAAATAAGACAGTACTTAAATTTCCCCTCTGTTTACCTATTTTTCCTGCCTAGTTATCCCCACACTGAAGATTACCACGGAACCTCTGGAGATCCATGATCATGGGCATCAAAGAGTGAACCTGACTTGCCACATAAACAACTTCTACCCCCAAAATGTGGAACTCCTCTGGATTAAGAATATGGGCAAGATCCTGACTCTGGAGGTCCCTCAGGCCACCAGAAACTCTGTTGGGACATACTCTCTAAAACACACCTTGCAGGAAAAAGTCACATTGAATGAGAGCACCCAATTTAGCTGCTGCGTGTTCCCATATGACCAGAATCCACTGGTGGTCAACATCACCCTGGGAGCTCAGGTCCCCCGTAAGGGTAGAAGTGTGTGCCTTGTCCCCTTTGTATCCTCAGGGTATTGTGGCTGAAGGGCTAGAGACTCAGGGAAACCCTTCATGAAAGTGGAGACAAGAAGCCCTTCCTGGTGAGAATGCTGTTGCATGGCTAACCCCAGCTGCACCCCCTTCTTCCAGATCCTTCCACCATGAAAGGACTCTCCTTTGCTGCACTTACACTATTGCAGGTTTTTCTTCTTAACCCTTGGTTGCAAGACATTGCCAAGATTAAAGGTATCTGGACTCCAGATATTCTCTGGGAAGACAACTAACTAATCAGGACAGTGAATTTAGCTGGATGTTTCTGGAAATTAAGTTTGAGGAGCTCAATAATCATTGCCTCCCTCAGCTAAGAAAAAGGGTCACACAAAGTGGGTGTAACCCCCCTGTCACTCCCTTCTCTCTGCTCCTTTTATTTTTTTTCCCATGCACACAAGCTGCTGGTGGTAATTTCTTTTATTTCTTCCCCATTTCAGTCTTTCCAGACTCATACTATTTCTCCCACAAGGGGGCACTGTGGCGCTACAACCCAGAGCTTCCTTTGATCCAGCCATGCTTCATATAAGGGAGGCAAAACTCCTGTTCTGAAGCAGTGGTGTTGGTGCAGGTGCACAGTCAGGGAAACATAATACTAGGTCAGGCATGGGCAAGGCCTGAGTAAGGCAATGTGTGAGCTTTTCTTTACTGTGCATGTGGGCTCTGTGCAGTATATTGCAGAGCAGGTAGCTGCTACAGAGAAGTGGAGAGATGCCAGGCAACCAAATAGCCCATTCCCACAGCAGGCTTCCATCTTGATTTCTATCCAGCTCTGTGGCAGAACCAGCCTTTTCTGGTTTCTGTGATAATTCTCAGAGGTAATGATTCCACAGACCTTCAAATTTCTTTGGGTCCTATTTTGGTTTCCCAGCAGAAATAAGAAAAATATCCACCTAGTGGGATGTACAGATCTAGGTAACAAACTCCAAAATAATGCTTTTTCATGGAAAGCAAGTTGCATTAAATTTTTAAATTTTTTTCTGTTTTATTACTATTGTGAGAATTTATACCTGACTACTGTGTTTACATCATTTCAACTCCACACTTGCCTCCCCAACTACTCCCATGGCCCCCATTCCCTCTCAGCTTCATAATCTCCTAATTATTGTTATGTATGTATGTATTTATGTGTGTATGTATGTATGTTTACTTAAATAGATATGACCTGCAAATATCTCTGTGGGAGGGTCTCTGGTTTGTACCCAGGAATGAAATCACTATTCATGTGGTAGTTCCTTTTGTAATTATTTTGGGAAATCTCAAAAAATAGCTTTCTTTGATGGCTGTATTAATATGTATTTCTGCCAACAGTAAATAGGGTACCTTTCTCTCCACATGTCCTCCAACATTTGTTTTCAGATTCATCAGTGATAGCCACTCTCACTGGGTTGAGGTGGTATCTCAAATTAGTTTTAATGTACATTTTACTAATAGTTATTGGCCACTTGTGCCTCCTTTGTTGAAAACTTTCTGTTTAGTTCATTTACCCATTTGTTGATTGACAGTTTTGTTTCTTTGGTGTTTAAATTGTGCTGTTCTTTATCAATTCTGGATTTTAGCCCATTGTCTGAAGCTGGTGAAGATTCTCTTCCATTCTTTGGGCTGTTTGCTTGATGATTGTTTCCTTATTTTTCTGTCGTTCCCCCTGTTGATACTTGGGATTGGTTCTTGTGCTGTTAGTGATCTACTCAACAAGTTCTTGATCTCCAGGTATCTTGAATATGTTTTCTTCTGCAATTTGAGTTTCAGGCTTTAAATTAAGGTCTTTGATCTATTTTTTAATTGATCTGTCTACAAGGTAAAAAAATAAAAATCTAATTTAATTCTTCTACGGGTGGAAAACAAGTTTTGCTAGCATCATTTATTGAATAGGCTACCTTTTTTCAATGTATAATTTTACTTCCTCTGTAAAAATAAATTAAGCATGCATAGCTTTGACTTTTTATTCATGGGCCTTCTATTCTTTTCAGTTGGTTCCCTGTCTATTTTATACTAGTACTATGCTAGTACTTTATCACTATAACTATGTGCTATAATTTGAGGTCAGATATTATAAAGAATTCAGTGGTGTTATTACTCCTTAGGGTTGCTTTGACTATTCATGGTTGTTTGTGGTTCCATATTAATCCCTTGCATTGCTTTTTCTAAATCTGTGAAATATGACATCAGAATTTTGATACGTATTATGTTAAGTCTGTAATTAATTTTGGTAGTTTAGCCATTTTCACAATATTCTACAAATCTAGGAGCATGGAATGTCTTTCTATTGTCTAGTATCTTCTGTGATTTTCTTTTTCAATACCTTGAAGTTTTCATTGTAGAAATCTTTTACTTCTTTGTTTAGATATATTCCTAAGCACTAAATATTTTTGGAGTTATTTTGAATTGGGATACCGTTTTGTTTTCTTTCTTTTCAGAATTATTTCCTTTAGTTTTTGAGATCATAATATAATTTCATCATTTCCCTTTCCTCCCTCCAAACCCTTCTATATAATCCTTCTTGGTCTCTCAAATTCATGGCCTCTTTTTTTCATTAATTATTGTTATATGCTGTACTAGCCAAGGTTCTCTAGAGGTACAGAACCTATGGGGGTGATTATTAATGTATATATAAAGGGGGGTTATTAGAATGACCTTCAGGTTGTGACCTAACTATCCCAACAATAACTGTCTACTAACGGAAGGTACAAGAATCCAGTAGTTGGTCAGTCTACAAGGCTGGATGTCTCAGTTAGTCTTCCATATCCACCGGAATCCTAAAGAAGTAGACTCTAATACCAGCTAAGGAATGAACTTGTTAGCAAGTGTGGGAGCGAGCAAGCAAAGAAAGAGAAAGCTTATTTCCTCCACGTCCTTTATATAGGCTTCTAACAGAAGGTGTGACACAGATTAAAGGTAGATCATCCCACCTCAAAAGATCTGGATCAGAATTAAGGAAAAAAATACTTCACAGGTATAGCCAGTCATTTGGGTTTTAGATAATTTCACATGTAGACAAGTTAAAAACCAAGAATAGTTAACAACCATCACTTGTGTATGTGTGTGTGTATACATATATTTTTCTGAATACATGACATATATACTCCTAAACACATAAACACAATCTGCTCAGTCTATATGTTGCTTGTAGATACATTTTCAGGGCTGACCATTTGGTACTGGGTAACCAACAATACTCCCTCCAAGACTCAAAGACTAAGAAAAATGTAAATATTAGGCATGAGAAGCCCCCTTTTGAGTTGTTGATCAAGACACCCCAAAACATACAGGCTATTGCTATTGTCTTGGGTGCCAACTACCCAGGGCTAGTAAAGTCATAGATTTTGGAGAACCTACAACCACACTTTCTAAACTATCATAACCCCTGTCTGCATTTTAAATATTTGTCCTTGTACACAGGTGAGTGTAGTCCTCACCCCTCCATCAAGGAACCTTCTCTTTGCAACAGATGTAGACCATTAAGAAAACCACAATCAATAAAAATACAAAGTTGTGGAGTCCAGTCCTGATGGCTACATCTATAAAATGGCTTAACACATGAGGCCTGGGGGACACTGTGAAAGGGAGTGAAAGGATCATAAGAGCCAGAGTATTAGGGAGTTCACTATGAGATTCTGTCTCCTAGAAATGACAGGAGCTATACTCATAATGCTTTGCCAACTTGACTGACTAAATATGACCTAACAAAGATAGTAACAACCTACATGCTAAAATGGATGAGGAAAAGACCATGAGGCTTGATGCTACACAAAGAACTACAGGTAACTAAGGAAAGCTAGGAGTGGAAGAAACAGTTTTCCCAAGGAAAGAGCATACCAATGTTATGTAATTCTTTCTGAGAGTACTTTTGGTATAAGTGAAGACTACTTTTTAAAATGAATTTTTGTGTTCTGAAATGTTACTGTAAACTTTTATTAGGTCCAAAAGTTTTCTAGAAGACTTAATAGAGTCTTTAAAGAATCATGGCATCATTGTTTGTTTTCTTGCAAGAGATAGAAAAGGGGTAGATCCAGATGGTAGGGGAGGTGGAGAGGAAGTCGGAGGAGTGGAGGGAGGGGAAAGCATAATCATGATACATTGCATGAAAAGAAAATCTATTTTCAATAAAAGAAAAAAAGAATAATATCATCTGAAAGTAGGGATAATTTAACTTCATCCCTTCTGATTTTTTTATCAATTTCACATCTTTCGTTGATCTGAAAGCTACAGGTAGGACTTGGAGCATGATACCAAATAAGAGAGGGGAGAGTGATTATCTTTGTCTCTTTCTTGATTTTAGAGGAAACACTCTCAGTTTGTCCCCATTTAAAACTATGTTAGCTTTAGGTTGTTGCACATAGCCTTTGTTATTTTGAGATATATTCCAGACTTTTACAAGTTCTTCTGGAACTTGAAATACATTATTCTAGGCTCATTTGGCTTTTCTTATTTCCATTGTGAAGTCAGATTTTATTCTGATGGATTCTCCCTTATATGTGATTTGTGCCTTTTCTCTTGCAGCTTACATTTAATGTTTTAATTTTAATATGCCTTGAAGAATTTCACTACTGGTCCCACTCTGTATTCTGTGTGCTTCTTGTATCTGTATGGCTTTCCTTAATTTGGGGAGGTTTTCCTCTATGACTCTGTTGAAGATCTGGTCTATGCCATTGACCTCAGATCCTTCTTTATTTATGACTATAATTCAAAGATTTTGTCTTTTCATGACATCCCATAATTCTGTATGCTATTTAAATGTTATTAAAATATTTGTTCATATTATTTTCTTGAGTGGTCCAACTTTATCTTCAGATTCTGATAATATAGCTCCTATTTTGTCCATCCTACTTGTAACTCTTTTTCTGAGTTTTGTAATTGGGTTGTTGAGTTTTTCAGTCCCATTTTTATTTCAGCTTGAGTTTTCTTTAACATTTCTATTTTTTTTTACTGAATTTAGTTTTGCAATTCTGGATTTTTTCTTGTTTTGTTCATCCCTGCATTTGTCTTTTCTTGAGTATCTTTCAGGCATTTACTAATATATCCTTTAAGTTCATTTGGGCTGCCTGTGTCTTCTTTAAAAACTGAATTCTTCAATAATGTTTATATTTTTTCCTTTACATTTTTGTCTCATGGTTCATCTAGGTATCCTTCAGTGGGAAATATTTCTATAGGACCACTGATTGTGGGGGCAAGGCATGCCATCTTGGTCATTCATAGTTGTGTTTTTGCAATGTGACCTAGGCATGTGGATTTCTTTCCTTGGTTGAGTGTCTGAAGTATGAAGTATGATTCTTTCCTGCTTTCATACTGAGATGGTGCAAGAACTGTGACAAGAGCTAGACTTGGGTTCTGAGATGGAATGGTTAGTGTTGATTCTTGGTAGACTTACTAGGAAGATCCACTGTGATAGCTGTACTTCTAGAGCCAGAACTATGCAAATGGGCTAGGGAGAACTCATCAGGAAAATCCAGTGGGTGACTCTTGTTCCCAGAACTAAACCTGAGAGCATAAAAATGTCACTTTCAGAGTTATGAGACTTTTCAGGAAAAAACAATGTATGAGTTACCTGTGTTTATTTTTTTAAAGATAATAACACTCTCTCAGATCCTCTGAGATTTTAGTGTTGTCATTGATACTTGAAAGTGATTACCATTCATCAAACATTCAACATCAGCTTCCTTAAAACCCCAAGAAATAAGATTCACCCCACTTTGCTAATGAGGAGTCAGACGCATGGGAAGTTAAGTTGCTGGTGTGTGCATGCATGTGTGTGTGTGTGTGTGTGTGTGTGTGTGTGTGTGTGAGATATACAGATGTAGTTTGAGTGGACCCCAAAATCTATGTTGCCAGCCTCTCCATATGACCTGCCTGAGCATTAAGAGATCTCTCCTTAGCAATGACTAAAGGAAAGACTGAGTATAAGGTCAGAGGCCTAGACCCTGGGACTAGACTACCTGGTTTTGAACTCCTGTATGTGCCACTGATTATGGACTTGGACATGTTCTCCCATCCATTGCTGCCTTCCTTTTAGTGTTGTGAAAGTCTCTGTGAGCTCCTATGAGCCCAGTTTTGTTTATTCTGTGTGTTTCCTTGTGATGTCTTTGACCGCTCTGGCTCCTACAATCTTCCCTCCCTCTCTTCAGCAGGATTCCCTGAGCTTGGCCTAATGTTTGACTGCAGGTCTGTATCTGATTCCAGCAGTTGTTAGATGAATCCCCGCTGGTGGCTGTTGGGCTAGGGACCTGTCTATGAGTATATCAGTCTATCGTTAGGCAACATTACATTATCATTTTTTCTCCAGTTGTGTTAGGTTCTATCCTAGGTCTCTGGGCCATTCAACATCTGGGTCCTGGCACTCCAGGCAGTATTGGGGTGGGCTCACTCACATGGCATGGGTCTCAGACTGGACCAGTCATTGGTTGGCCACTCCCAGGATCTCTGAGTTACCCATACCCCAGTACATCCTATAAGCCAGACAGACTGTAGGTCAAAGGTTATATGGATGGCTTGTTGTCCCAATGCCTCCACTGGTAGTCTTGCCTGGTCACAGGAAGTGGCCAGTTTAGGCTATATATCCTCTTTTGCTTGGAGTCTTAGCTTGGGTCATCCTTGTAGATTGCTGGGAGTTTCCTTTGCACCAGATTTATACCACACCCTGAAATGACCCCCTTTCCAGTTGGCTCTTTCAGTACTCACCCCCCACCTCACCCCACCCGACCCCTCATGTTACTAGTTCCACCTACCCCCAGTCCACCCACAAAATCTCTTCTATTTCTCAGGGAGGCCTCTTTACCCAAGTATTTCTTATATAATTCCCTGGAACTAGGACAATTGTGTAAGAAAGCAAAGTCATTGAGCGTAGAAATGTTCACAAATGAGCAGATTGCTTATCAAATTAGCTGTGGTTCCAACCTTTCATTGCTCAGCACCTTCGTCTCCAGCAAGATTTTCTGTTGTAGAAATGTCTTTGGTCTAAAAGCAGGACTTCTGGGATCACACCCTGAGTCCCTTCAAGTTGTAATAATAAGGATTTTACATTATCTACACTAGACCAAGAGCTGAAATCTGTCTAATTTAGACATCAGAGAGCTGATTTGGCCTTGGAAAATGTCTTAATTTCAAAATCTCAGAAACAGAGCAAAAACAGCATACGCAAAGTGTGGTTGGCTTTGATGTTGGCATAGAGTCCAGAATCTGGACCACCCAGCCTTCAGTCCAGTGTGCTGTTTCTACCATGCTGCTACCTCATGTGAAGACACTGTAAAGGATCATAATGGGATTTCCAACCCTGCACCCATTGTCTGCCATTGTGAACACATTGTATTGTATGCTGGCAACTCCGACCGAATCCATTCTAGAAGCCATTAGGTCCTAATTTCAGAAGACTAATGGTTTGGTTTGTCACTGTAATATAATGTAACTTCTGTCTCTGCTTTACTCCCAAGAGTTGCTACTTGAGACGCTGTACTATTTAACTTCTCCAAACTGAAGAGTTCTATTTTCTACTTAAAAAAACTTAGTATCTTTGTCTCTAACACTTAGTGTCTGTGAATCTTCAAGTCTTAGAATTATCTAGTCATGGAGTAAGCCAACTGTTTTTGTAATTTGCTAAACGAATTTGATACATTTTCTATAGCTCAAAATGAAAAGAAGAAATACTGGGATGTCTCTTCTCAACTCATCTTCCCAGCCATCTATCCAAACCTGAATTCTCACTCTCATGCCACTGTGCACTTCTCTATTCCTGCACCTACTAACTGATACCCAGATCCTTATTTGTAGCAGGCACTGGCTTGGCCCCTAGCAAATGGCCCCATTCTCAAAGGACTTCCAGTAGATTTCCTACAGTAATTATTTGCTTTAAATGGATTTTTGTCTCAGTTCCTCCTTCAGTGAGAGTGTTCCAGTCTTCAACTGCCCCAGATTTGGTGGCTGTCACTTGCCAAGTACAGAGATTCTATCCACAGGAAGTGTATCTCACCTGGCTGGTGGATTGCCATGTGCTCAAGAGAATAGAGCAAACTACACCTAAGAGGAATGAGGATGGGTCCTACACTCTGGAAATCTCACAGTCGGTAAACACGTCACTGCAGAGGCCTGATCAAGTACTCACGTGCAAGGTAGAACATGAGGCTCAGCCTCCCATCCAGGCCAGCATTATATTGTCTATGACACCCTGTATCATGTCCAAAGCCATTGGGAGCCTAAGTAAGTTCACCTCTTCTCTCTTGGGCATATCAGGGTCACCTTGATTTCCTCGTTGCATTGCAGAAGACCCTAGGAAAATAAAGAGTTTCATAATCATTGATGTCTTGTCCAAATTGGGAGTCTGTGGTTTCTTGAATAGGCAGACTGGTCTCCAGCCAGTGGCTTCCTGTAGAGTGACCACCCCGAACAGTTCTTCCATTTCTACTGGGAGAACATTCTGTCAGTTCAACCTCTTTGAAAATGCCCTAGAGAAAGTTTAGCTTACTGCTGATTCACTAGTAACCATGAGATGTTTGTCACTAAGAGTTTGGCTTAAGGTAGTCCTAGGAGTATTGGGGTAAGCTTGCCTGTACATTGTTCTGTAATATTTAAACAGCCATGTCTGAGAACAGCCTTATGCTTACTCTAATGATAATTATTTCTATGTAGTTACTTCACAAACATATATCCTTTGTTCACCAGTCTACTTACCTGTAATAGTGTATAAATCAGTTTCTATTTATAGAATCCTTTGAGGATTAAATGTTAATATACAATGGATATGTAGTTGATATGTTGTCTACACTAAATTTAAGCTGTTACTACTATTTAAATTTATGTAAAATTGTTTTCAAATTAAATTTTAATAGTTATAGTTGTGTAAATTTAGGCAACACAGTCAACCATCTCTCAGAGATCCCATTTCTCCATCTATAAGATGTTACTAATAATGCCAATGTTTGAAGATTACAACAAAGGTTACTTTAAGTAACCACTAGACCATGGAGACAAGGGATTGATAATATTCATGTTGTCACATTGACTGATGAATGTCAGATCTTTAAGCAGTGTGTGTTGTAAAAACAATTCAAGATAAGTTTCACAGGTTTCTTATTTCTGAGAGCTAACCATAGAACAATGAACCCAAGAATGGAATCAGAATTGGGAAATACTGGGAACTCCCTGGCTACCAACCTCAGATAGATCATTTCAACTCACATAAGCCCATTTTTTGGCATTTTTGCCCTGTGTATTTCAGGTTCAGAGAAATCTGTCCATATTTTTGTGGCCTTCCTCCTATGCTTCAAGGGACTTCTGGTGCTGACTGTACTCACTATCTACATATATAGGCGGTGGAACCTGTAACAAGTGAGTTTGAAAATGGGCCTTAGTCCTTAAAGAACAAGGTTGCAGCCTTGGCCATGGGTACGAGAGGACTTAAGAATAAATACACAGAATTCACAGGATATGCCCTTCAAAGAGTCCAACAAATGTTCCCTGGTGTCAAGAAGAGATTGCAAGTATCTCTTTTTTCTCCAACTATCATTTGGAGTTCTTAGAGGTTCCTAACCCTGTGAATTGTGTGGTATCCTGGAGTTGAAAATGTTTCTAGTTATGTTCCTTGGGATTCTGGGTATAAAAGTTGAAAGTGTGTAAATGGAATGATAATTAAGACCCAAACTCCAAAGAGTCTGCCCACACATTAAATTTTCCTGTGATGTCAACCAATAAGACATATCCAGAAGAATGGATGTACCAACTGGTGGAAAAGATGACTGCACATATGGAAGAGAGGCCAGGACCCAGAAAGAGGTGTGAGGTGTAATAAATAGAGGCTTCATTTCTGATATTGCTTTGATAAGGAATTCAGAACAGAGAGAGAGAGAGAGAGAGAGAGAGAGAGAGAGAGAGAGAGAGAGAGAGAGAGAGAGAGAGAGCTGGCCACTACTTATTGTGTATTCATCAATCAATAGAATTAATACATGAATGAAGAAACAAATGAGAAAATGATTGTCCCACTTCTACATGGTCTGTAACATGTTGCCTTCTACCCTCTCTAGGGAGCTCAAATGGAGAGAAGATTCAAGGACCTGTTGATGATGCAAGACTCCTGTTCTTCACTCTTCCACCTTCTCCACAGATGTGCTCCCTCCGTACATTGTCAGACATGGACTTGGGTTACCTAGGGATGTTCCAGCCTCGAAATGCTGAACTTCAAATGAGCTCTGTTTACACCCAAAGGCAATTCAATGACAAGGAAAACAGATGTTCACTGTCTCTGATTGTGGTCAACCCTTAACTTTCCAGTTTTCACTAGTATGTAGAATTTCTTACAGAAATTTAAGTTTATGATTTAATTTTAGCAGACACAAAACTTAAAATTACTGCAGTGTTAAAGAAGCATTTTTCTATCTTTAAATGGATAAAAACAACATAAAGTATCTCTGGACTTACTATAACATTTTGCAAAATGTTAACATTTTGCTCATGTCTTCAAGTTTCTTTTAAACATTGCCCTGCATTTGCTGGTTTTCTTTTTCAATCATGGTATTATACTGTTATGACATGCATAACCTTTAAACATCATATAGTATTTTTGCTTTTATTTTTCATATCTATTATATTGCATTTAGCATTGTGAAACTTTATTTCATTTTATACTTAATGCACCCTGTAAATTTATTAATGTTGAAACATATAGCTGTTTTATTCATTTTGCACTGCTGTGCAGTCTTCTCTTGTAACAGTATGCCATATTTTATTAATCCATCTCACAATGGACACTGAATCTTTGTTCAATGCTTTTGCTATTACAGTTTTGTGACATTCTTTTCTTAATCTCTAAACACATGGGAGAATCTTTCTTGTTCCTCAATCAGGTTATAGAAAGCAGCAGTGTAGGTAACATTTCCATGCTTTGTTACCTCAAAAATAAAATCTCAATTTTTGAACATGTGTTCTCACTCTCTTAGTCTCTCTTTCTCTCTTTCTCTCTTCCTGATTATGATGGTCATGTATGTATAATAGGTGTCAGTGACCTTTTATTCTCTACAAGGTTAGGTGATCCAATATAAACTGATACTTGTTTCCTCCTTTACTACATATTAAATTTCTATAATCTGGAGCTGTGTTGATAAGCACTTTATTCCATTAATCTACATGTCTATGTCTATCAAGACTATGCTGCCTTAGAATAGTTTTATAATTTTTGTTGACCTACATTTTCTCATTCAAATTATTGTGGTTATTTATTTTTTATTGTTTCTTTGTGGCTGTGCTTTTATATTTTAAAGGAAATTATTCATTGCATAAGCATTCTAGAAATGGCATCAAACGTGCTCCTAAAATATCAGTAGAATCAATGTGGCTTAAATGTCATTATAAAATGTTCTTTTATATCAAAACCCTCACAGTTGAAATTAGGTAACCTAAATAAACCTAACCAGGAGCATAAATCAGAAAGAAATGAATGTTAGTAATTGTGGCCACATTTACTTTTTTCCTGATTTCTATTTTTTTATTCCTTGGTAATTTTAATTATTTTCACCACTCTTGATCTGTGCTTATCCTCTCTCTCTTCCACTAAAACTGACTTGTGGTTTGAATGAGAAATGTCCATTGTTGTATGGGCCGGTTTAGGAGGCACGGCCTTGTTGGAGAAAGCAAACTGCTGGAGGCAGTCTTTGAGACTTTAAGGTCCATGATGCTTCCAGTTGGCTTTCTCTACTTCTTGCTTGCATTTCAAGATGGGAGCTCTACGACTCCTATTTCTGATGCTATGTTTGCATGGCCTCACTGCCATCATGAACTCCGTCTGGAACCATAAGCCAAAATAAACTCTTCCTTATATAAGTTGCTTTGATCATGGTGTTTAACTACTGAAATCATGAAATTGGTATGCTGATTAGCTTTCTATCAACCTGACACAGGCTGGGTCATTTGAGAAGAGATAACCTCAACTTAGAAAAAAATGCCTCCATCAGATTGGCCTGTGGTCAAGTCTGTGGGGACATTTTTTGATAAATGATTGATATGGGTGGGTCCAGCTTACTATGAGAGGTACCACCCTTGAGCAGGCTGCCTTAGGTTATATAAGAAATGTAGCTGAACAAGCCCTGGGCAGCAAGCCAGTAAACATCTTGACTCCATGTCCCCTGCTTCAGTTCCTGACTTGAGGCCCTGCCTTGGCCTTTCTCAAAGATGGATCTTCGGGGGGAATTGTAATCCAAACAAACCCTTTTCTTTTGGTCATGGTGTTTTATCATAGCAATAGAAAGTAAACTATGAAAAGTAAGACAGAAGTTGGTACCAGAGAGTGGATGTTGCTGTGAAGAACAGGCTAGAATCATCTGAAAGGTGGGAACCCCAATTGAGAAAATGCCTTAATAATATCCAGTTATAAGGCCTTTTCCTATTGATGATAGATAAGAGAGGGCCCAGCCCATTGTAATAGTCCTGGGTTCTATAATAGGCTGAGAAAGCCATGAGGAGCAAGCCAGTAAGCAGCACCCCTCCATGGCCTCTGCATCAACTCCTGCCTCCAGATTCCTAACCTGCTTGAGTCCCTGTTGTGACTTCCATCAAGGATGGGCTGCAATGTGGAAGTGTAAGCCAAATAAACCCTTTCCTCCCCAAGTTGCTTTTGGCCATGGTGTTTGATCACAGCACTAGACACCCTAACTAAGACACACTATAATAAAGCAAAGGGTTCCCTTAAGACAAGACCCTACCAAGCTAAGCTTACAATTTATGAAAGAGAGCCCAGGGAGACCTCTGCTAATTTTCCTGGAAAGCAACTGAGTACAAGAGCAAGGATAGTTTTGAACTCTCTAACCTTAAGTCAATATGGAAGGGAACCATTTTTATGGGCCCCAACAGGAAGTCAGGAAATACATTGATTGCATTGAGGGTGAGGTTGCATCTTTGTTTCCACAGATAATGAAAAGTTATGGATTCCTTCAAAATTCATAAAGATTTGACCAGGGGAGACCTGAGAATTCTGGCTGCAGACATGAAGGAATAAACCAAGAAAAACTACAAGACAGGTGATGTACATGTTGATCCATCTACATGAGAACAGCTCTCACACTCGATAAGACATGACAAATCTTGTTGGCTATGGAGTCCTCATGACTTATTACATGCCATCCTTTCATGTGGCACTAATGGAGATTTATATTACAGTTTGGTTATGCAATCCAAATGCATATTTGTTATAAAGTTGACAGATGCCTTTGAATTGTTCAAACATAGAGCAGAAAATCATCTTTAACTGATTTGTGCACACCACACATTCTATATTTGTGTTAACGCAGATATGTGTGTGACCTGTAAGAGTTCGTGTGTCTTCAAACAAAAGGACCAGTCACCAGCGGAGACAAGTAACCCAGGTGATCCAGCCTCACAGAATCCTCCATTACCATTTCCTCAAAAACTGCATCCAGAAAACTTCAAAGTAGCTAGCTAAGATTGCCCAGTTAAGCCCTGAACTTTCTCATAACACAGAGACTGGACAACAAATTATATAGATAGCTCTTCCAGGACTTACTATTACAGGGCCCCCTAAAAATGCCCCTCACAGACAACAGGAACTGATTTTAAGAATGGGAAACTCACATTCCCAAGAGGTGGGGTGGTGGAAATAGACAGACAGGAAGTGTGGTAGCTGGGTGGAAACAGCACACAAGCAGGGAGAAGCAGGAACTCCTCTCTTGTCTGCTGAAACATGTAGGAGGTAACGTGTGGCTTTGGCTTGCCCCTTCTTCTCTCGGATCTCCCAATATTTTCCTCTATATCTGGCTCCCGGTTTTTATTATCTACACCAATTAAGAACTCCATTTACATTTTTGCACCCGATGTAGGGCACTAACCCATGACCCTGAGATTAAGAGTCCCATGCTCTACCAATTGAGCCAGCCTGGCTCAGCAGGCAAGAGAGGGAGTTCCTGTTTCTCCCTCCTTATATCCTTTTTCTGCCCAGCTACCTCACTTCCTGTCTGTCTGTACAGACCTCCAAATCTCTATGGGTAGCTAGTGGCAAGCTCCATTTTATGACCTTCAGAAAAGCTGTTAGTCTTTTGTTCTTCTTTTCTCTTTTCCTTCCTTTCATATTTTCTATCTTTTATTCATCCATCCTTTTTCTCTTTCTTACTTTGTTTTATATTTTTTGACTGTCCTTCTGTATTTCTTTCTGTCTGTCTTTCATTCTTCTTTTTTATCTGTTTATCTTTCACTCTGTCTTTTAGCCTATTTTCTCTCCTCTGTCAGTCTTTATTTCTCTACCACTTCTTTCTTCCTTTTTTCCTCTCTTGATTCAGTTCTTTTATCTTTTATCTTTTAATTTTATTTTCTTTTTCTTTTATCTT